ATTTAACTCTTTACTTCATGTTACAAAAACAAACAGAATGCATAAACTGTGGAATGAAACTCTATGCGTTGTATGGTTTTGGCTGACGCTGCAGCAGCTCCCAGCGGTGTGTGAGAAGTGTTATTTTCCGCTGGATGAGCACTGCTGATCACACACTGCTGGGGGCCTGATGAAATCGGGGTGTTTCAGGGTGGTGCAGGTTAGTTGAGCATATTTTTGTTGTTGCTCAACGTAGCTTGACAGTATCCCACCCACCCAACCTTTTATATGTTTATTAGTAGAGAGTAGGGAAACAGAACGGTTTTGGACTGGGTATATATGTACTTGTTATAGTAATTATATAGCGAGCACTTGTAATGTATGGTAGTTTAATAAATGTCAAGCTTGGGGCTGACGCTGCAGCAGCTCCCAGCGGTGTGTGAGAAGTATAATTCTTACTAGTTTTCTTTGGTCTATTATATGCTTCAGTGAAGTTAGTAGAACAATCGTAACGTTAGCCAAATTTGTCTTTTATTATATTGAACTGGGAAAAAAACCCTGCAATCAGTTTCAAATGTCTTGGAACAGATGCCACAAAAATCTTGAATTTCACCAAACGTCAATCCCCGGCCGGCCCCCGCCCCCTGTTCAATGTTGTGTACCATTTCTCGCCAGATTTGATGTGTTTTGGTGTTCAAATTGAGAAAGAAAGATTTAATATAATATGCTAAAACAATTAAGTTTGAGATGTAGAAACTATTGTATAAGCTTAATTAAGGACAAAGAATGACAAAAGCATAATTTAAATAACTGCGCATGCGCGTCAGTTAGGTGCTGTTTACATGAATCCGGATTGACTTTCAATCCGGATCGAAATGTCAAGTCAATCCGTATTGACATGGAAAATGGGTTCGCGGATTGGAATTTACGCGGGAAATTTGAGAATGAATTTCGAATGAGTTTCGATTCGTGTTTACATGGGATTGAAGCCAAATTTCGATCTGGATTGAAATCTCGATTCGGAATGAGAGTTGTAACTCATTCCGGACTCGTGTAAACAATTAATATGGATTGTGTTAATTAAAATGGAATGAGTTTATTCCGGATTGAAAGTCAATCCGGATTCATGTAAACAGCACCTTACTCGTTCACGCTTGACTCATTGTTGCGGTCCTAAATTATATATATAAATATCATGATTTAAAATTCTGGCAAGGACCGGGTTTTTTTGCGGTGGGGGGGGGGGGGGGGAGTGACACATGCCCTGAAAAACATCTTATCGGCTAAATGAAGGATTTTCTCTGAAAATTGTTTCCCTAGTCGGAAAGAATTGAATTGCATGGATAGGAGATGATAGCAACCCCCCATGCTTAAACCTCGCGACGACCCTGGTTCTGGCGCCGGCTGATAAATTCTGAAAGTAAAAATATTTATTGTATCACTAAAACGTCTTGAAAAAGCTAAAAGATTCATAAATAAATGAAGCCCAGAACAAAATGCTCTACTTCTGTTGTTGTAAATATTCTCAATTTCGTATGGACACAGATTATGTCTAATTTCGATGTAGATTTCTGAATCAAAAAGTGACGCTGGAAAATTTTCGATACTTTGCCATGATTTAGCAATGTTTTACCATTGCTGCTCAGTCCGAACGGTAAATTATTTCATTAATTCATGCACGTTCATAACACTTCATGGGCGTGAATACTTTTGACAATACCATCAAGGCCTCATTCCACGAGCGCTTCTTTCGACATTTCGTGCGAAATAAATTAGGTGCATGCGTAGTAAATTAAGATAATAAATTAGGCTTCGCGGAAAATCTTTCGTTTCACCAGTTAGTAGAATTCAGTTCTTCCCGTGGGGAAAGCGAAAAATAGTGGGAATATTCAATAGAATCACTCATGTGCAACCATGCGTATTTCGCAGACTGAATTTCTCGCGAAGAATTTCGCCGTCGTGGAATCAGGCTTTATTTCTCGAATTCTCGCCGCCGCCCGAAAAAAACGCCTGAACACAGGCTAGTTCTAGCTGTTGCAAGATTTTATAGTCAACATTCATGTACGTAAACTAGAGTAGCAAAGCATGTCAGATAAATTGAACATATGAACTCTATAATCAGGGACGCCGGAACTGGGGGGGGCAGGGGGGGCGGCTGCCCCCCTTGCCTTTTGCTAGGGGGGGCAGGGGGGGCAGAAGTGCCCTTTTAGTTGTAAAATAATACATAGGAAAATCACGAGATTCAGGTAATTTATAGTTTATATTTATAAAAAGTTTGGGAAATTTTTGGAATTTAGAAAAATATTTTGAAGAAATGGCGAAAATTTAAGATATCCGGAAAAATTTTTGGCTTCACGGAAAATTTTTGTATGTCCGGAAAAAATTTTTGACCGCTAAAATGGTACACTGACCGAAGGGGGGGGAGGTCGCCAAAAAATTTTTCAGTGAAAAAAAATTTTTCAGTAAAGGTGCCCTTGGTGTGCGTCCTTTGCCCTATTATCGTTCCGGCGTCCCTGATATTATTGCATACTATTCCGTTCATACATTCTCCACCATATACTGTATTTGTACAAAATCGCATTTCTATACAGGTGTACTTCGTCTATCTACACCAAGTTATACTATTTACCACATTGTTGAAACACCATATTTTACGTTGCGTACGTGATATGTAAACCACCGACATTTATGTCCGCTATTTCTCGTCTTGTATCATGCGTCTAACCCTTTTGTTTCTCTATTCTATTCTATTCTAATCATGTTACATACCAATTGTTATGTTTCATCTGTAAAAGATAAAGATCAAACTTTGGATCTAATCGGACAGTAACTTGATATACTATTAAATTTGTATATAAAGTCCTGAGCCGCACTTCAAATTATTCGGCGGTGTATAAAAGCACTCTTTTTTTTAATTTGGCGAAGCTACTGATTGTTTCGAAATGCAGTTCGACTGTATAAGTGTATAGCGCAACAATACAGTACATTTTATTATCGTATACACGTACACTATATATACACTATATAACAACATATTATACTAATCCACGGGTCTTGTAGATGGAAATTAAGGAGTGGAAATTTATATATATTTATTAGACCTAACCAGCCAACCAGGAACAGCTGCGAAAATGCATGCAACTTTAGGTCCCTGGCAGGAGTCGGACCTGCGGCCGTACGATTCTGGTGCACTAGCGCTCTAACCAACAGAGCTACAGCCTACACAGGAAAAGTTCTCTAACCACAAGTTCATGTATATATACTATAAGGAACTGCCACGTATATATAGGTTATGGGTATAAATATCAAGATTTTGTTGGCATCTCACTCGATTGAATGTAGTTGATGGGTACTGTATATGGATATTAAGGTACTGCCTACACTTGGCAGTACCTTAGTACAAGGACGGATTTTCTGGGGGGAGGGGGGGTGCGCACCCCCAAAAAATGTTTTTCCACCCCCAGAGAAATTGTGCACCCCTCCCCCCCCACAAAAATGTGCACCCCCCTGTCCCTAACATTTAAATGCACTAAATTAAACTACCGTTAAGTAAGATAGAAATATTAAAATTAGCATGTTTCTATATACGCTGTTTTGCAGCAGATTAACGTAAAAGTAAAACACATGTACAAAACGTGCTCATCGGCACCTCGCGCTCATCGGCACCACGCGTTCGCACATTCACATCAGGGGCGGATTTAGGCAGGTTTGACAGGTTTACATAAACCTGTCAGATTTTCCAAAGAAAGAAAATCTATAACCTTCCATGTATATAACTGATTTAAAGAATATTCTGTTTCATAAAATTGATGTTGTCTAATCTATTATTGAAATTTGATTATGGACTACCGAGCATATTTAGACCTACTGATCATTGCTTTGGCGATTGAAGATCAGGAAATGATTGGGAAGCGTTCGTTAGAGTTGGATTTAGAAGCGTGTGGCTAAATCGATGTGTCAGCAATTAGCGGATCCTATATTTTTGTCACTAGGCACTAGCTAATACGCTTCGGAAAAGGTTCAATTCATTGTTTGAGCTGCGTGTTAGTAAAAAATTCACTTAAAAACATGCATTTTCTAATCATTATATTAATTTAAAAAGTGACGCCAGAACGCAGGAAATGCTGTTTCAGAGCCGCAAATTTTAAAATTTTCCGGGGGGGATGTCCCCGGGCCCCCCTATTAGTTGCGTGATCCTAGTAAACCGGTCATCAAAAACCCTGGATCCGCCCCTGCAAATGATCATCACCACCACCCCCCTGAATTTTTGCACCCCCCCCCGAGAAAAATATGAAAATCCGCCCTTGCCTTAGTATATACATATACATGTTAATAACTGGCCTCTGTAGATCTGGTTAGAGATCTAGAGCTGTACGGGAATCGCAGGGGGGCAGGTTCGATCTTGACATTTATACTAAGAACAACAACCTATAGACAAGAATGAAATTAGCTGACTAGTAGAGGCTTTGGCTTCAGTTTTAAGGATTTTGGTTTTTGGCAAGTGATATGGCTTCTGAAGTGAGAATGTGAAAATGATAGCCACATTCCAATCCTTTGACATGGAAATATTAATCTTCACTTCAAAAGCGGCGAAGTCTACGAAACAGTGAGAGGTTTGGAGTGGCTCGGGTGACATGAAAGACAAAATAATTCATGCAGCTTTAGGAGTAAAGACTTAACTGAAAAACACAAGTGTGCTAGTCGTATAGGCAATTCCTGAATTTGCTGGCTGGCAGTAAAAGCAACTCGTGAATGTCCGCCTAGCTCGTTCCAAGCTTTTGTTTCGTCTACACTAGAGCAAATTCCGGAATAGCAGTTAGCCTACAAGTACACTTGTGTCAATTACCTAACGACTGCTAGGTTGAATCATTAGTTAACAAAGTAAATAAATACTATTAGAGTATGACGTGATAGGAAGCAATTGTCGATAAACCAAACGCAATCTTTATCAAGAATCGTAGAAATAAAGGCAATCTGGTCATAAACAAGATCTATAACGAACGAGACAGGATGGGTTTTCTGGGAAACTTAATTAATTTAATTTAGTATTAACATTCAATTACAAAGATCACATTAACTTATTATGTCTATTGGGTCGATTAAAATATACAAAATTTTTTGTGGAACCAATATTTACTATTTACAATGTACAGTTTATTATGAATATATTTGAACTAATTAAAGTTTACTAATAAATTATATCAAGGACAAGAATAATTGTGAATAGATTTATGAACAACTGATTAGTTTTGCGACCAGCATAAACGTACACCACCAGCTAGCTAATATATGTCCACTGATAACTACTCAAAGTGCTAATTTTTTATTTATTACTGTAGTATGCATTTGAGTATGTGAATATTAAACGTTGTTATATTGAAGAAGACGTGCTTTGTGTTCCATATTTTAAGTCCGGATCAAACGACGATGATAGTGCATGAGAGTTTGCTGTTCTTAATGCTTTCCCAACACTATATCATGTATTTTATTTAAGTTAAAACATAGTGTGAACACTAACCAAACCTTTATTCTGTCAATGTATAGAGCATAAAATGTGACTCACAACTTTTATTTTTGTTTGACCGGGACTTAATCATACCATATGTTGTATTAAATTAAGTCATTTATAATCTTTACCAACACATGTGCTCAAATTTGTGCGGCTGCCTTGCAAAGCGGAAATTCGTCTTAATATCCTTCTTACTTACGCAAACATGTTCAGAGATATGAATAAATAAACATAATAATCCTTCTCGTATGCAAGTAAAAAGCAACAAGTTATTGCGAAAGAGCGATATTTCTCAGCAAAGGCGTCGGGAAGTAAATATTTCATACACGAAATCGTTGGATTTTTGTAGGCTGAAAATACAAAAATTGTCCATTTTATTGCTAAACATTGGTGGGGTTAGGTCGGCTCTTCTCGCCATTTCCTAACATTCCTGATGTTTCGTCTTCTTCAGTCCCCTCGGTTAGACCAAGTTGTTCTAGTCTCTTCCTTTCTTCTTCCTTTTTCTTTTCTTCGTCTTTTTTATCTTTTTCTTGGCGTCTGCGGTTCAATTCCTTCTGGTAGAATTGCTCGAAGTTTGAAACAACGACAGGCACTGGCAAGGCAATACTTAGGACACCTGAAGCAGAAACGGATATTTATTTACTTTCTAAACCAAATGGGTTTCTTTAAATGGTACATTAAACTACACGAAATTAATATGACAACAACGTCCACGTTCAAAAGCCCTTCAACTGGAAGTTAGTTGAAGGGATAGAGACCCTAGTGTTTTTTAGCGATTTTGCCAAGCAAATCAAAGTTTTCGCGATGAAAGAAAATGGTTTGTAATTTGTCTACTTTAAGCTTTTGGAAGAATGGCGTCTTGTTACAGTTATTAACCGTATTTTATTTTAGGCCGCCATGTATAGGATGAGAAGTTCAAGTTATCCAACATGGGACAAAACTCAAAAATGTATTTTATCTCGATAAATATACCGTTTATTTCCACAAACTTGGAAAACTCAATACATCAAAGTTCCGAAATATATATATTTTTAATGTTTTTTGAATAGCAAGACAGGTATAATTATTATGCATATACAGTATACATATACCAGAATATAGCTGACGCAAATACAATTCAGACTTACCCGCAATGACACAAAAACCACCAGTAACCTTCCCAAAGAACGTAGTCGGATAGACATCACCATATCCTACGGTTGTCATAGTAACAATAGCCCACCAGAAGGAATGAGGAATACTATCAAATCCAGAGTCTGTGGAGGAAAATATTACTGTTAACAATTATGTATGCATGTGATTTGTCATAAATTATTTAATACACCATTACTGAGCAGGTTAGGTTATATATAGCAACATAAAAGAATATTTGCAAATCTATAACCTGTTGAAATAATAATTATGAATGTAAATTATTCAAAATTATCAATAATATCTTCAATATGCATTATTAAGTATAGGTCATATAAGGACGAAACTTATTATTAGATATTAGACTGTTTTTATCGATAGTTTTTACTTGCTACAGGAATATTTCGGTTTGTAAGATTGCTCTGTTCATATCGCTTTTATTTGTCCAAAATAAGGAAAAAATGAATTGCAGACACGTTCAATAGACAAATTTGGATAACTACCGGCGTGGAAATACATCAGAGCCTTCCCTCGAAATTCTTCTCTTATATTTTCAGGTAGTTGCATCCCTATATATACCAACGAAAGCTTGTTCATTTTATTGGCACCAGCTACACTGGCAAAAACAGTTCAAAATTTGGATAACGTTTGTTTCTAACTAACTCACAACATTAGATCACTCACATGCCTCGTTAACTATAGTGTTCTAGTTTACAGAAATATAGAGTGGAAGAAAGGTAACTAGGCTTTAGAATTATCTTCTTGAGTGAATAATTTTACATAATTCTAACGCTTAGTTACCTTTGGCTTTGTCCTATTCTGTGCTTCTGTAAACTAGAACAATAGTAACTAGGCATGTAAGTTATCTAAAGCTGTGAATTGGGTAGCAACCAATATATGTAAACAACGTTAACCAAATTTATCTATTGTTGACAGATTTATCTATTGTTGGGATCTTCGGTGAAACAGTAATTATAATTCTGCCGTGTAATATTTACAAGTAAAGAAGATTGAAGTATAGAATTTATAATACATTTACAATTTATCATTTATAGATGCTGATTCCAGGTCTTATTTCTAAATAAATATTTCCAAAGGATAAAAGCTGTTGAGAGGTTTGCATGCTTTGAATTTTAAGTTAACCCATGCAGGGTTAAACCAATTGGTTTTTGAACAACCTACAGCTGTCCCAGGCGATTTAACAATCCTTTACTCAGTTGTCAGTAATATGTAGATATGCTGAGCACCAGCTTTTCGCTTTTTATACATTTTGGGCCCAGCTAATGGCTATTGCTTGTGACAACTTTAATTCAACCAGCTGTATACTATTTGTAGCCGCGCAGTACTACTAAGCGAGTTGAATGCAGCAGAACGCCTTTAAAGGACTATGCATGTCCGTGAAAACTACATGCAGTATATTGAGCGAGTTAAATATTCAGTAGAAAGGTGATTTAATTTGGCCGGTATTTATTTTTCGAATGTTGAAGACTGCTATAGTGCGGTTTAAAAGTGGCGTCATTGTGGTGAAAATAGAAATAGAGACCTCCCCACAAGGGCATTTTCAGCTCTGAACAGCAGCATTTATACTGACGACTGCCATCTTACCGCATCCTCTAAATCGAGACCTTGGGCAAGACATGGCAATTCAAACTATACATGAACTGGAATTTTCGCATGCATAAGTGTGTATGCAAATTGGAGCGAGAACTCCGCTAAACACTTATATTTTTCGTTGATGTCATTGTGGCTTCATATTTTTGCGTTGGCGTCATTGTGGGTTCAGGCGACCCTATAAGATTGGCATAGAACTGACAAACAGTATATGACCTACTTTCAAATAAATTTACATCCATTTTGAAATTAGTCTTGAAATTTGAACGATCTCAAGCCGATCCGAGGCAACATCGCGGTCAAACGTTATAATAATATAGAGCCCATGGGCAACTATACGGAAATGGCGGGGAAAATGTCCGCCAAAATGATAGGAGTAAGTACGGGAAAAGCGTTTATTACATAAGGAAACAGCATTAAACTATAAGGCAGAGAATTTCACAGCTTTTTCCTTGTGACAAGACGATTGTTAAACTCAGTTTAAACCATCATAATTATTTTTAAACCTTTTGCTAGAGCTTCGTGAAGACAATTCTATTTCCAGTCTTTTGAATACAAGCAGTAAATACGCGCGGATGTTTGATCGCGGTGTTATCCGAGGCCGGTTCCTACACTTGCACAAAAACTCGAATGAATTAACCGAATTGACATTATAATCGCTACTGAATAAGTGGGGGGAAAATGTCCTTGGCTGCTAAACAGAAAACGTGAGCCGATTCGAAACCTGCACCTCTCGAGGATGTCTAGATCGACCTCGAACCTGTCTCAGTTCGCTTTTCGGTTGAACGTCCACACTTGGCCAGATATTCGGATCGTTCTAAATCGCTAGTGTGGACAGCTCCTGAAACGTCTGATTCCGAATCATAAAAAAGTGCGCATATACTATAGCTATACAAGTGCGTATCTGTGGACTCTGCTGTAAACCTGTCTTTACAAAGGTTTCGCAGTGGAAATAATCGTTTGTTAGTGATTTTATTATCCCCCTCTCAAATGCCTTTCATTGGTGGTTTACAATCAATCCCTTAGGATTTACAAAACAACAATATGAAAGCAATGGAGGAGGAAAATACGCTCCAAATATAAATGTTAGCGTTCCACCAACATGGCTACCATGACGTCAAGGCAACTAAGAATATTGAGAACTCAAGTAGTTTATCAATATTTTTCAGTAAATTGTATAGACTTCACGTAAACTAAAAGAATTTAGTACACTCGAAAACTAAAACTATCCCAAAATGTCCATGTGCTGCTCTCGTGTAAGAATCATTTCCCCAACATTTACAAGGTAAATAATAGTCATACATGCTAAGTGTTGATCTCCAAGACTCCAAAGAAAGAATAGTCACTGAGAAAGGCAAGCCCTGCCAACTTTGCAGGAGCACCGTAATTGCATGAAAATGTTTTTAAATGCGTATAATATTATATAATACTGATGACTTACCCTCTCCAAGCTCAGCATAGTAAATACAACTTCCAAATATCATCACACCAATGAAGAGGAAGAAGCCCAACATAACAAGCTCACTGAATGATGAACGTAACGTATTCCCCAAGATCTGCAGACCACGTGAATGGCGGGACAGTTTGAACACACGAAACACGCGGACTACACGAACCACACGAAGCACGTCAATGCTTCCTCCGATATCTTGAAAAATAATAATAAAACATTTATTGAACATATGATAGTAATATTACAAGGCCAGGTATTTGATGCGGAATTCAGTGATTTTAATTAACGCGCTTTGAAATCTAGATAAGTCCAGCCAGCTAGCTATATCTAGTTGCGACTTAAAGGCACAGTTCAACCTTTTGAATGATGGTTTTTAAGGCGCATTACAACCCTTTTAATTGAAAAAACTAACTAGGAAAATCAATTAAATATAATTCAAGATCAGTAATTTCATTGTTCCTAACATTTTTTAGCATTTTTAATGTTAAAAACATCGAGTTCACTGATCTTGAATTATGCTTAATTGATTTTCCTATATAGTTAGTTTTTTCAATTAAAAGGGTTGTAATGCGCTAAAAAACATGATTTAAGCCTGGTTCAAACTAGCAATTCTGTCGGAAATTTTTCACCTCCTGGCAAATGTGATGGAATGAATGACTCGCAAAAGACGTAGAATTGTTTACTTCTGAAAACCGGCTCTATACTTTTGTGTGCGAGCTCACTCATTTCGTGAAAAACACAAAATAGCCAACAACATTGCTATAGTGTGAACCAGGCTTTAAGATGTCTGACCTGATACGTTGTTGTGATCGATTAGTTATTATTAATTATGACCTTAATATGACCAACGAATAATAATATAATAATATATACAGAAATATATAAACCAGAATTCACAATAATTGACACTAATTAAACACTCATATGAAAAACTTAACAATTTTTAACTCAGGTTTCTAGTTAATGTTACGGGGAAGCATATGGTAGTCAACTTCAAAATCTTTGACAGGAACAAAACATTTAACTATACTATTCTATAAAACTTTCTCTTCTACTTAATTACAGGTTCGCCGCCATCTGCTACGTGATATTGCTTAGTGAAGCTTTAGCTACTTCTGCAATGGACGCATTGTAACCAAAACCAAAGGCGCATCGAAACATCGTCCGACATTGTCGATTCAACAATGCCAGGTGAACATTTGAAATTAAGTGAAACCTAATTCAACATTACAGAATGGTGTTGGACCAATGTGTTGGACTGGTTTGAACGCCGGGCCTTATCAACTATTAACAATATTACACAATGTACTGGTATACCTTGAAGTGCTAGCGTGACGTAGAATGGGAGAATGCTTAACATGTCAATGATATTGAGTGGGGCTACAAGAAACTTGGCGATATTTGGACACACAGCCAGACGAATGACATACTCCGCGGTAAACCAGCCAATGATTGCACAATTCATGACAAACCAGACACGTTCATAAGGATTGACATATTCATCCTGCTCTGTGCATGATGTTAGATTCCCTGGGCATTCTGGAGGTGGTGGATTGAAGACAGGCATAGTTTCCAGGCAGAAGATAACCAGCGATGCTGATATAATGATAACTGAGAGGATGGCCAGTGTTTTAGCAAGTAATGAGGTATCAGGATATTCCATAGTTTCCCAGATTATTTTACAAATGGCATTATTTGGCATGGGGCGCTCTTCCTCCTCGTCTAAGACACCGCTTTCGATTTGAAATTCATCCACAATCTCTTCTGGGAGTTGAAAAAACACACATTCTTTGAAAAATACGTGAACAGGGACAGAATCAGGCCTTATCAGCGAGCCATGACTTTGATAAAAATACAAAATTGCTGCAAACGATCCCCGATGTCTGTCAAAGAAATACTCTCCTGTATTTGAGTTGAAGAACTCAGCTCTTTTCGACGCAGAGCCGAGAAGAGTGTTTGGAAATTGTTCCAATGTCTCTTCAAAAGTTTCAAAACGTTTCCCGCTTACGTTTATAACGATATTTTTGCCAGTAGCTTGATATTCTGAGTTAGCGGCCTCCATGAATGCACCGTGTGCCGATAACGTGTTGTTTAACAAGTAACCTATGACAGAATCATTGCCGGTGCCTCGAGATGCGTTTATTGTTGATATCATCGTGATTCCACAAGCAAATATTATTCGAGCTTTTGGTAAAATATTATCCCAATCACGCAAGGTTACCTGCTGACCTCAAGGAAAATGTTCAAATATTTTGCTAAGTGTTGTTTTACACACTTATACTGTTGCAAAGTGTTACAACCGATTTAAACCTCTTTTAGGAATGTCGTAGCTCTTCCTCAGACAACGGCTTGGGGTAAAATGCGGTAAAAATAAAATTTGTGAGCCAATCGTTAGTATTCTTTCATATTCAACTATCGCTGTTTAAATTTTGTTTTCAAACGGAGTTTGCTGGTAGGACAATTAAAAAGTGATCAATATTTAATTATTTCAACCACAAACGCTTGATGGCTTCTTACGAAAGGTCTAGAGATAGAATTTTCGTTGAGATTAAAAGAATCAGGCTAAATATTTTGATAATAATTGCCTAATGTGCTAACATTTGGATTAAGCTTTGTTATAATACGCTAACGACTCTTGTTATCTATCACATAAAAATTCCAGCAATCTTATTATTAGGTATTAAAAATTAACAAACCGTAAAGCTTTAATAAATTTTTCAAGCATATTTAACGATAGGGGGTTCATGAGTTTGCTATTTATTCTTGATATTAAATATCATTAAAATTTACTTTTCTGGTTGAGTGAGCAAAAAAAATGCCAATACATTGGTCAGACTTATAATATAATGTTAATTATTGAGCGCATTTTAATTAGTCCTCAAAGTCTGTTGCCATGATAACAGAATGTTTCTATTTGTGTACAATAACATTCAATCGATAAGTACAACACTGCTTTGTGTAACGAAAACTTAATAAATAAGTACTAAGGATGTTATTTATTTATGGGCCATGCATGCATCATCAAACGTTAAATATATACACCTCCGCTTTGGTGCGGTTTAAAACACTTTATCTCTTTTGAAAGTCATTTTGTAAAATTTCTTCAATTAATAATTAACCCCGCATGCCATAATCTATTTTATTTAGTTATATATATATTTATTTACTTTATATTGTATGTGATAACTTTCTCGGATCATACACGCATTCATATTGCAAGTAAATGCGCTGATTAAACTTCGAGTCAACTGGAGCATTGCTTTTTTAATTAAGCTATATTGCTAGGGGGCAATTGTCGCACCCCTCCCCACCACAAAGTGTATTTTTACCTCAAGTAACATTGATTTTGCCCCTGGAAAGTTGCCTCAATCATTCGTTTCAGCTGACTGCATGGCTAGAAGTGCAGAATGGCATTCTTGTCGCGTGATCCTAATTTTTTAAAACTTTTCTTTGCCTCCGCCTCCCCCCTCCGTCTCAACTCTTGAATCACTAGTACTATTTCAGAGACTCGACTCAACTGGACGCCACAGCTCAAATGACTCGACTATAGCGTGTCATGCCGTAAATGACTTGACAATGTGCTAATCGTGAATACAAATAGAACTTGTTTAATAGAATAAATTCATTAAAATATAGTTAAATATTATTTATGCAATGTGATTCCCTTATTATTGAAAACTTTGCAAACCTTTGTTGTATATTGGTTGGGAACAATTATGAGTCCCATGAACAATTATGAACGTCTAGTTATTATTATAGAAAGTATTATATAATGGTTTGTACGGGATCAGGGCTTGCCGGACAGGCATGTACGCCCGTTCAATGCGAAATTTCCAAACATTCCCAAGCTATATAGTGAATGTGTAATAGAATAGTATAACAGTATAACAGGGCAGAGGACAATTCCAACATAATTTGCTTTTTTGCTTAACTTGTCATCAAAGGAATATTAGTCTATAGAGTAATGATCGACAATCCTTATATGTATATATAGCGGTTGGGGAAATACATGCGCATGCATGCAGGGTTGTAGATATCCTACATGTTCATGCGAATCATAACATACATACCGAGTTTTCAAAATGATTTGAAAGCAGTCTCTTGGATAATAAAGATATCTTCATGCAGATATGTTGCTGAGAAATTCAATCGAACACTTTTTACAACGGTCTGTGCCAGTGTATGTAGTGCCAATTATTAGAAAGCATCGGATTGATATAGTGATACAACCGTGCACCTGAAACTAAAAAACAAGAAGAAATTCGACGTTTCCAGCGAAGTTAGTTTTAACTTCCCGACGAAGGGCCTTCGCTCGAAACGTCGAAGTTCTCCTTGTATTTTCAGGTAGTTAATTGTGTCCCTATCAATCCGAAACATTTTACATCAGCTGTGAGTGATTTGGTGAAAAGTGTAAATGAGAACTCGATCAATGTATTGATTCAGCCATGACAATAGGACTGCATCAGCAGTCATGATGAGGCATCTGACGTAATTAATATTGGTTACACATGTAATATAACATGGGTATACACATAGCCTTAGCCTAGTTGCCTAGACATTTTTATTAAATTACTAAAGTAAATAACTTAACGGTGGATTTGATTGCTAATGTGGCAGTATGCAATGCAAACGTACTGAACTATTACACAATGTCTGAGCTGGACTTGACCAAATTTGCTGGCAAATTCAAGTTCAAATGTTGACTCGATTCTCTTGCAGGCATTGACTCAACTCGATCAAATAGTGAAATTAATTGACTCGACACGTGACTCGACATGTGAGTGACTCAACTTGACTCACAAATCGTCTCGACTCGTGATTCGACCTGTTATTCCACCGTTGAGTAACTCAACCTGACTCGTGACTCGACACGTGAATAGAAGATCTGTGAGTGATTCAAATCAACTCGTGAATCGTCTCGATTCGTGACTTGACCTGTGACTCGACCGTTGACTAACTCAACTTCACTCATGATGTGACACGTGACTCAACCAAAGGTGATTTAACTCGATTCGTGCCTCCACTCGACCTGTGGGTGACTCGTTACAACTCAGTCATCCGCTCATAATATTTCTCATTATCATTCACTTTAGATAGATAAATAGATAGTTTAATAAAACGTTTACATTGCAGCCAAAGGCTGAATTACGTAAAATTTACAAAATACGAATTATTATTATTTAATTACTATTATAATTATTAAGTTAAAATTATGCAAATATTTAAAATTTTACTTGGATGATAATAAAAAAGATACCACTAACGTTACGAACACATCTTCGATGCCATCGCAAATATAAAAGAGTTTTTAGTACGTACGATTAGTATTAAGATGAGGAATGTCAAATTCATGACCATTTCTGAGATCGTGGTGCCAGTTATGTTTCTGTGGGAGGAGGTCATAAAGTTTGTGGCTTGGATCCTTTGTAACATTATCAAACAAGTTTTTGCATAAGAAATTATGGTGTTCTTCTATTGGTTTGATGTTCAAAATTTCTCCTGTTGCAGAGTAGTCCATTCCTGGATTTATTATTGAAATAGCCCTTTTTTCCAGTCGAATCAATTCGTTCTTTAAGTATTGTGGAAGGGAGTGATAAAAGGCTGGTACTGCGTAATCCGTGACAGATCTAACGCTAGACGTATAGAATAACACAAGATCTTTAACTGGTAACCTAGCTCTTTTTAATTGAACCAGATAATATAGTCTCTTACTGGCTTTTTTGACGACCTACTTTTATATGGGCATGCCAAGTTAGATTATTACTTATTGTTACTCCCAATAATTTAGCACTTTCGACTATTTCGACTTCTTTACCATTAAGTATGACTTGATCTAGAACAACTGGGTCCTTACTAAAAGAAATTCTCAATTCTTTACATTTGTCTGGATGTAGCTTTAATCTATTTTCTTCTGACCATTGCTTAATATGATCTGCTATGTTTTGGGCTGTACTAACATTGCCTTGGGAAGAATTTCCGATGCTGTGGTATCATTCACGAACTTCCACAGGTATGGTGAATTAAAATTTAGGTCTTGGATCATTAAAATAAATAACCATGGACCTAGCTTTGTACCTTGCGGTACACCAGACGGAACAAGGCCCCACTCAGAAAAACAGCTATCGGCCAACAGCTAAACAGCTATAGTATTCTCCATTTTGATTGATTAATTTACCTGCAAATAACTGGGGGAAAATATCGATTAAGTGCAAATAACTGGTGAAAATGCTTCATTGAGCATGCGCACTTTGAAAATGATTCGTCAGCTTAAATTAAAAAATATCGTCTTCTCTTTTGAAATATCAACATGGCTCGTTTTGCTGAGCTATCGGAAAGCGATTTGTCATCTGTACTGGAGGAAAAGGACGCCGAAAACACAAAAAAGGCAAGAAAAGTGAAATTGTTTACATGCTTGATTTTATAAAAATCACAATGTTTGTGCAATACAGTATTTTTACGTTGTGTATGCAGTGGCGTAGCCAGCCATAGAATTTAGTCCCGCTATGCAGATTCAAAATTATTATAATTATTCATCTCTTTAGAAATTGATTGTTTTCACAGTCAATGAACACGAAAATAATAACATGCCCCTGTAAGGAAAATAAGAACAAAAGCTGGTCTATAAGCCATGGATAAACAATGAGATTAAAGAACTTATAGCTGAAAGAGACTATGATTAGAGGCTGCAAAACGATCATCTCGATCACCTAGACGTAAACTGGAACAACAATCGAAAACTGAAAAACCTTGTAAAAAGAGAAGTAAACGCGGCTGAGTCTAAGCACGTTAAGGACATAATAGAGTCAGCAGTGGGTGTAACTCTTTAAATTCTGCTGTTGGTACAAATAAAACGAGAAGTACGTGTTTCCAAGTACAATTTAAGAGCGACTGTCCGTAAAAATCGAGCAAAATTTGAATTCTGCGGCAATACACGAAAAATAGATTTCGTTCATATTTTGCTCAAATTAAGGTAATACCTAGTTATAAATGGTGTTTGGGTTAGATTTTCAATATTTGGGTTAGATTTTCAAGAATTTGTCTCCAGGAGGCTATAATTAGCCGCAGACAAAGCCGCTGCAATGGTCAGTTTCATCACTTCGCGACGGATTCAAAACTGCCCGCAGATAGTTTTGATGGTACAATGACTATAATTCAAGTATTAAAGAACAATTTTATCAATATGGAATGGCCCAGGAGGCTTTAGCTGGCCTG